CCTCAGTACTTAATGTACAATCCACATTTTTTATTCTTAATCATATTAATGGATCAAAATTTAACTGTCTTTTGAACAAGAAACTAGTTGATTTTCAGATTCATTTAAGCTTATGCAACTTACAAAACTAGAATGTCCTCCTATTGTTTAAGCACATTCCCATAAATCTTTATCCTTAGCCCAAAATTTTATTAACATATCATCACTACTTGATATTAAAAGATCTTCATTTTTATTCATCAATAAACAATTAATTCCTCCTTAATGTCCTTCTAATCTTTGTTTAATGTCCCATTTTTAATCAGCATTTAAAGAGCAAATAGAGATAGTTTTGTCACAACTGCCTGATAAAAACTCGTTTGATTGTTTCATAAAATATTGACAATAGATGCTCTTCTTGTGACAATTCAACTATTATATCATCTTCAGTTATCCCTTGTTAAATTCAAAGACTTATATTTTGCTTGACTCATATCCACCTACCATCTTAGAACCATCAGAATTAAAAGCGAAAGAATTTATTTATTCATCCTGAATTGAATCAATCAAATCATACTTTAAACTCTTCGCTTCCTATTTTACTTTTTTGCCAGGGCGATCAAACTATTGTTATGAGAATTCATTAAGACCAGTATAGATTGTCTCTATCATATTTTCGGCACTCTTTGAAATTGTTGAGATTAGAGATTGCTTCTCTTTTCGAAACTTAATCTTTGAACAAAGTAAGTCGTTCAATTGAATTAAATTCAATCCATTCAACTCCTCTTCACTTATCTAACATCCAAATTTTAATTCTTCCTTTAGTGTAAAAAATAGTTGATAAATATGATCAATCATTTTTTCGAGATCAAAAATTAAATCTTCATCGCTTTTATTTATTTATTACCTTCCAAAATCTTTTATCTTCTAAACATCTTTTATATGAGTATTGTGTTTTTCATTTTGCAAGCACTTGAAACAAAATACTCTAAAGTCTTTGCATTATTCATTAGTGCAAAGGAATTCCACATCGGTCTCATGATCAGGTATATTGCAATTCTAATTCATTATATTTAATTATTTCTTTCAGTTCCTTAATAAATATATCTCTTCATGAATATAAAAATTTGCAACTTGTATGGTATTATTTTACTAATTATAAAATTAATTTATTAATCATAATCATCATTGAAACTGCATTTTTATCTTAGAATATGGTTGTATTTATTCTTCTTAAGCTCGACAAAAAGATTAGTAAGTGATTGAATACTGATAATAAGAATTAAAAGTCATTGTCTTTCAAATTCTTGTGAAAAGAAATTGTTTTAAGGAGAAAAAGTTAAAATATTCCTTTCTCTTATGTTTAAATTCAAACAAATAATCTTTCCATACATCAATGAATTTATGGTTTGGATAACATTTAAGACATGGATTTTATCTCTCATGATTAAAAAATGGGTTTTGAAAATATGACAAGTATTTGATTGAGACAGAAACATTTTATCATCAGACTATATTTGAAAGTTTTTAATTTTAATCCAGTTAATATAACTAATTATACCAAATTAATAATGACATTATATATTAAATGACCATTTTAAATTATTATTTTATGATTTCATATTTCCCTTTTTCGATTTACTTTATTATGATGATTTCATTTAACTATCATTAATTATTTTTATACAGCAAATATCTTTTTTTTCTGCATTTTATTATTTCCTTATTTTCGTGTAATATTAAAACACATATTATTAAGTATAACTCTGGGATCACAAATGAGCAGGTTATAAAATAAGTGAGTATTGATTTTTTTATTTTTAAGTATTCTAAAAGGTGATAAAAGTACAAATCCTTTAGTCTTCTAATGAAAATTGTAATATAATAATGCAAAATAGATTACTTAATAATTTCTAAATGCAACTTTAGCTTGTTAAGAAATTTTTAGAGCGATTTAATCCTTTCTTTCGTTGATCCTATTCCCAAAGAAAACAGGTTGATTTTTCAACTAAATTCTTTAATATTAGTAACATAGCTCAAAAGATAAAATCAGCACTGTTGGGAAAATGATATTAAAGTATTCTAATGGCATCCAATCATCAAATTTGATGCATATTTATACTTAAGTGCTAAATAATGATGATTTCGAAATTTAATTAAATTAGTTGATTTTAGGATAAGTATAATCATAATTTTTGAATAATTCAATATAATATTATTAGGATTTAAGGTTAATTTGAAAATGTTATTTTTTGTTGATGCTGCTTCTTCTAGAAAGTTGAAAAAAAAATGAAAAATTAGTTGATTTAATTGTTAGTGAGTTAATATCCATTAAACTTAATTTATAATATGTGTTCCGCAAATTCTTCTTGCGCTATATCTTATCATCATCATCCTCAAAAATCCATGACAAATCTTCAACCTTTTCCATTCCCCCGACCAGCATCTTTTTCATCTACATTCCTAAGCAGTTAAAAATTCCTCCATCCCTTCGTTGCTAATGTAGGATGAGAGTTTTTTATAAGATATTAAAGAATTCATTCTTATCATTGTTTCAGACATATATTGAGTTTATTAAAGTGATTACTGATTTCTTTTTTTCCATAGCAATCTTTTGTATTTACTATAAAAGTTTTCAAATGTACGAATATTTTCATTCTACATCATACTTTGGCAGCATTTATTGCTTTCTCTTTTGATATTGTACAATATTCATTTTGTTCAGCTCTTTCATGGCTATGAGAATTAGCTTCAAATTCTAGTCTTAATATACAGTGATCATATGAGTCGTTCCACATTTGTGATGCTGAATAATTAACCTCTCTTAATATCAGGATATGATCATTTACAGAAGATAATGTACGATGTAGTTATACTCTTCTAAAAGTAATCTTATCTTGGGCAGTATCAATAATGAACCCAACTCTTAGATCTTCATAATTAAAATCTGCACAGATGACAAGTTGCTAATTGTTCTAAAATTAAATAACTATTCCTGTTACTTTTTGCCAGAAGTACTATCTACACTTTTTATATTCACTTTGATTGTGAAAGAAAACATTAATTAGAACTTAATTTAAAATCGGATTTATTATTTAACCAATTAGAACTTCAGGTAAAATGTAATCTTCATCAGAGTTATTTTAAAAATAGAAGGTTGTGATGTTTTTGCTTTGAAACTATTTATGTACTCCTTAAATTATACCTCCAGAATTAGAGGTATCTCTCTTATTATAATAGTATTTATATTTTACAGAATCTGATATGTACTAGTTCCTCACTTCTTAGAGACGTAAAAGATGTACTGTTTCGTATTTAATTATTTCAAAAGTGCTTTATTTCAGTGATCCAACATTCCAACTAATCAATTTAATTTAATTTTTATTATCAAAATTATTCTCATCTTTGTTTAATGGGTATTTAATATAAGCCATTAGCCTCAACTCCCCTTATATCTTAAATTTTTATGAAATTTGTTCTTCGATGGTGCTTTTCCATCATGTTTGAAGTGAATATGGCTTCTTCTCAAAAATCACCTTCTTAACTACCTACCTTATGGTATTAATCAGACTTTATTGACTGAAATTTTTTCCATTATTCATAGAATTATTTCCATTATACAAATTCTATCTGATATTTTCTAAGTGTTAGAAGCATGATTCTATATCTATTTTATTCTTTAACTTTATTTCTTAAATAGTGAGTCATTGTTTCTGATAAATGAATTATTAAAGTAATTAAATATAAAATAGAATCAATACTGATAAAAATATATTTTTGAAGATTCCTCACTATATTATTAATGTCAATCCAGAATAGAATAAATAGTGATAAACATTTATTTGAATCATATATAATTATATTATTTAAGTTGATAAATATAAAATAGAATAAAATAAGTAATCATGGAAACAATATAAGTATGAATTATTTTATTATAAAAGTCAATAAATTAAAATAGACTAATTAATCGTGAATGTCTTTTGATTCAATCAATAATAAATTTTTTTGTAAAATTAATACTAAGTAGTCAAAATAATTATAATATATATCAATTATAAATATAATTTAAAAGTTTCAAACTTAGCAATAATCAAATTTTGATATTTATACTCCCCTACTGTTAACTCGAAATTTATTGAAAACATTTTACTATATACATATCAATTGTTTTATTTGGTATATACTACCAATATAACAATACTATTACTACATAACTGAATTTTAGATAAAAATAATATTAAAAATCTTTGATTTGTAGTTTTTTCACAATCTATTTAATACAATCATTTTAACTCTTTATATATTAGTCTATAAACAATATTTATTGAAAACATATCAGTTCTTTAATATCATTACAAAAACTAAACTTAAATGTATTATTAATAATATCTACAATACTCAATTCTATTATCAATTATAGAATTACATATTTATATTTATAGACTCTATCATATGTTAATGAAATAACAAAATTAAAAATTAGCAGAGATATAACTCTTACCAGAATTTATAAATCTAAAGTCGAGCCAATTGAATTTTAAATAGAGATTTAGCTTACTTTCATTAAGGAAATTTTGAGTTGAGAAGATTAATTAGAATATTTTTATTTTTATAGTGAATAACACAAATATATACATAAGTTTGAATATTACAATCAAAATCATGGATTTTCATTAATTTAGTAAAATAGTATATATGCAGATTGCATAAGCACTTACTTTTTTGAGACCGCTTTAACAGTTTCATCATTAAACAAGAACCATTAATGATATCTTTTTGCAAATGTGAAGTAATGACCTGATTATAAATTGCCGGTGTGAACAATGACTGCTCTTAATCTATAAGTTTAATTTCCAAATTTTAGAATATCCATTGGATATGTTATAGTTTTATTATTTTTATGGCATTAAGGTAAGAATTAAAATCTTTTGAGATGCAATACAAGTATTTGTGGGATGGAAATGATTTAAAGGCTTTTAATACAGGAGGATTAACATTTGGTACATTTGTAATCTCTTAGTGTTTCTTCTTTGAGAAATTCTTCAAGACATTGTTCAAGAGTTTTAGATTGAGAGATAGCTAAGGACAAAGTTAAGAATGGCTCAATTTGTTTCACCTTATAGTTACAAAGTTGACATAAAATACCTGTCTAAAGTTTTCCTATTAAATATAAAATTTGCTACCTTTAAAGATTTAATCTATAAAATTAATATTATTTGATTTTGTATCCTTATTGAAATTCAAAATTTCATCCTCCATATGCCCTAACAAATAAAGCAAAAATTCATGACAATCATGTTAATTCTTAGGATGAAACTAATTAATTATTAGGGTTTTTATAGCATTAATTTTTATAGGGACGGTGCTTGCTTTAACTTAATCGATAAGATCGAAATAAGCACTGATATATTATATAATGTTTGCTCTTTTTCTGTCTTTAGGTATTCTTTGAATGTATTTGATAATAAAATAATTAAGATCTGCTATGCTTAACAGTGATTGTAACCCAGAGTGCATATAGCAGAAGTAGGAATCATTTCTCATTCCAATAAGCGGTAATTCGTAATTAGATTAAGAATTAGAAGCAGACTGTCTATTTATCTAAGGTTCAACAGTCTTAGATCTTTTCTCAGTAGATCTTGAATGTTTTTATTTACAAATTATATCTGGGTGAGCTTTATATTCTTGCTTAAAAAATATCCACACGGCCTCATTAACTATTATATATTATGTACAGTTATTATTGTCTAAAATACCTGGTCTTTCTCCATTTTGATATAAATATTATTTATATTTAGAGATCCAATTTTCTCGAACCGCATAAAGTTAAGTGGATTGCTTATCTTTCATGAGTTCCTTGATTATTGTGGCTTCTAATTCTCTTTTCTCATTTGAATCCTCCATACTTCTATATTAAGTAAGCATTTAAGTTGATTATGATGTGGATTAAGAAGAGATTTAACTAGATCCTATGGACGGTTTCTTTCTCATAGGAAATAATGGTACATATAATTATCTAATATATCCCTTTTTACTTCATACTTATCTTCAGACTCATCTTCTATGTTTTCATTTTGCTTCATTTATGAATCGAATATGATCATAAAAATATTAATAAAACAATAATATAAGAATAAAATATGTAATAATGACATGTCATTCTTAATTCGATGATTTGAGTGCTTAATATTCATCAACCAAGGATTAGATTTAAAATCCTTAATTAGTTTCAAATTTCAGCTTTCTTCCCTTAAATCCAATTTCAATAGACCCTGGAAAAACATTAAAAGATTAGGGTTGTTCTATTTTTTCCCATATTCTATCTTTAGAACTACTATAGAGTCTAATTCCATGATAACTAACACCAAGTACTAAGTTCTACTCCCCAAATTATGACAATGCCTCTTTGCAAACTACTTGAAATAATTATTAAATGCAGAAATCATTTCGCAAACATTCTGAAATAAATTGAATCATTGCTTTTGTTAAATCAATATTGATATTTTCGATCTAGGAAAACTATGTTTGAACAGATTGAGTGAAAGATGAAAAGATACCCTTAGATTTTACTTTAGCTATTTCTTCTGGTTCTATTATTTCAACCATTGTTGATTATGTATTGTCAATACTAGCCTTAAAATCTTTAAATTCTTGGGCTACAACGCAATTCCAATATTCTTTTTGCTTGAGTTGTAAAATTGTTGATGGAATAATTTATTGAATGATATCATATGAGAGATTGCAGTTTTATAAATATAAATGAATGGCAGCTAATTTAATATATTAGTTTTAGGTTGGGAACGGGAATGTCGAAATTTGGATATCTTTTACTAATTAGTAATACAAAACTTTCATTCTAGTAGCATCAGAATATAGCAAGGTTTTCTCATATTCCAAATCCAAATATAAGAACTTCTTGAACCAAAGTTCTTTTTTTTTTTTAGCAAAAATAAAGCTGTCTCCAAATAAATCACATATATTTTCATCATTTTACAAGATTTTCACACGAGATTTATTGTCATATATGTATAACTTAAAGTCATAAATTTACTGCAATTCCATTATCTTTTAAATCTAATCTAATACGTGAAGAACTTTTGTATTATTCTGTATGTTGAACTCCCATGGCTTTTCCTTTGGTATTGCATGATTTACTAGTATTTAAATTACATCCTTCTCTTTTTTTTTCTTCTTTTCTTCCACCAACGTTATGTTTCTGCTAATCATAGATGATGCACTCAATAATCTTCTGTTGCATTAATTGCTCTGAATCGATTGTTAATCATTCCCATAATCAACTGTTTTAATTAATGTTCTAGTGGGAGAAACATAACTGAATCTATCTGGCCCTTTTTGAATGCCATTTCTTTGATTTCTGAATTTATCAGCTTGAGAAGGTAACTCGTAAAAATTCTCAGGTAAACCTAAGTCTTTCAAAATTTATGGATCCTGTTTTGCTATTTCTGACATTAGAAGCGATGAAACAAAAAGAGGAATGGCAATCATCCTTGATTCAATTTCCTTCTAATCATTCAATAGACTTAAGGTTGTACTTTATTTTAAAAAATGTAATTGGGTTGTTGGATATTTCTTTTTAATATAATCCTAGATCTTAATGCATTAACTAAATCTTAAGAATAGTTTTTAAAACACTTCATCAATCCCAACTTCAATTATATATACCTTATAACTGCTTAAATTCTCCTACCTTTCATCAAGACCTAAAGCAGTTACTTTGATCTTATTCTATTATAACTTTATCTCAGACCCTTGACGAGATGCTAATCTTTAAAATGTATATTTAGATTTCTCTTTGCATTCTTGAATTATCTTTTGTAATTTAGCCATTTTTTCAATTTTATCATTTGGTGTTTATTCTATAAAGGTAATTGATTAACCGTTCATTCCTTAAAGGATGTATATATTTTAGAGATGTTATTAATTTTCTACATCCAAACATCCACTTTGTTCATCCAAAAACACACTCTAAACATATTGGTATTAATGCTATTATCTCTCTCCAATAATAATTAAATCACTTAGAATAAAAGCTGTGACATTGATAACTCTATTGTTTTAATCTAAAATGGTTGTTAAAAGTTCAGTAATGTATTTTCTCTTCGAATTTACTAATTTTTAATTCAATTTACTTCCAAACCATTTATCCAAATCAAACAATTTACTCGACAGAAATTATTCCATATTTTTGTTATTGTCATCATTTATCTTCTTAAATAAATCCAAGCAATCACATAAATTTTAATAATCTGGATGCAATTTTTCAGTGTGTTTTATAAGGTCTTCTAAAAGTAAATTGTATTTTGGAATTCTTTAGACTGGTTTAATTAAATAACTCTCAATATCTTAATGATGATATTCCTTTAGTTCTGTCATATTTTTCAGGAATTTTCTTAACTCTTCCTTTTCACTTATGCACTTTTTAAGCGTTGCCATAGATTTAGTAAAACCTTCATAATATGTGAAATAAACTTTAAAAAAAGGAGCTAATCCTTTAATTATAGGACCTAATAATTTAAATCTTTTGTAAGGAAGAAATCCTTCTAAATCTTAAAGAAAAGGATTATTTAAGTCATACAATTATTGTAGATTATTGAAAATAATTTCAATTTATTATTTATTTAACCATGGCTTAACTTGACTCTATATAACAATTAGAATTCTTAAATCATGTACATAGTTTCTTTCTGTATTTATAAACTCTTCAATTACAAATTTTCTATATCTATGTTATTTTTCTTTTCTATAATAAATCAAGATCAAAAAATACTATTTATAAATTCTATACAAAAATCTGAATATCTTTTTAGCAGCAAGATCCTTCTTCTTCTATATATTAGCTTATGTCATCTATTATTTAGGTTTGTGAGAGTGATCTATTTGCTATTATTATGTTTCTTTCTTTTTAATTTTACTAACTGAAGTATCAAGAGCACCATTTCCCCCCACTCTCATTATTTATTTGTAGGCTAGTTGCACATATCCTTATTTATTTTTCATCCAAATAAAAATAATATTAAAACATTTTGCCTTAAAAAATATTAATTGTAGTAAAAATATATATTTGAGTTGCTGATAATCCATAGCTCTTAGGAATAAATAAAAAAGATTAATTAAAACTTAAAGCACTTCCTCAGCTAGATGTATTTCATCTTTATTTACGAATAAATAACTGAATCCTAAAGAAATTCAATAAAATTTTATATTCTAGGGGTGATCAGAATGATGTAAAATAATCATATTTTCATTAAGATAATTAATTAGAGCGTTCTTTAAAGAACTCTAAGTTAATGATACGAAAATGAATACAATACAATTTACTTTAATAATTTCCGCAGACGAATAATTTGCTGATAATAATCTCATAACTTTATATAAGACAGTTATCGAAATATTCCTATTGAACTGCAAAGATTTAGCGAGTATTTCCAAGGTTTTGCTTAAAGTTTCCCTATGTATATAAGAATTAGCTCAACTAGAATTACATTATGAATGCTATTAACCCAAAAGTTAATCATATTTATATTCAAGATATGAAAAATAAAAAGAAATGAAATGTTAAATTAATTTATACAATTCTTAGTACAAAACAAATTATATTCTTAAAAGTTGATAATTTTAAGAATGTAATTTTAATATAGATTAATCCAAATTTTGACGACTTGAAATTCAAAAATTTAACAATTAAAAGGATTATAAATAGCAATCAACCTTGCCTTTTGCCATTGAGTCAAACTATTCCAAATTTCAAATAAATTAAAACTGAGAAGGTTGAATTACAAAAACAAATTAAATTGTATTGAAATTTAATATCTAAGATTCCTTTTATGAAAATGCTTAATCTTAAGTTAAATCAATAATTTCAAAAGCACGTTTTTAATCCAATTATTGAATACCTTTGAAATTGAATAAGCCTGTTAGTTCAAAAGTATTAATATAGATCTTCTTATAACTAGTATTTTTATAGTTATTAGATCTTATATGTCAAAGAATGAATCATTATAATCATTATTCACAGAGAAAAGTTTGTGATAGCAATGCAGTCATCGAAAAAGATAAAAACTAAAATTTTTTTGATTATTTTTCTTATTTAATAATGTAAGATAATTATGAAAAATTGAGAAGCAAATTCAAATTGATATAACCCATTAGTCTACCCACTAGACCATATCACATTACTATGAACTTTGATGGTTCCACTATTCTGATGGTCACTATTGATTCAAAGTTACACCATTTTTAAAGGAATAAGAATAAGTGGGATCTTATACTATGCTAATAATTGCATGATTAAATGATAACCGTATAAATAAATTAAAAAGGCACAATTTTGGCTTATATTTCAAGAGGGTATGATTATTTTTGGATTGAATATCTTACTTTTCATAAAAAAAAATGGATTTTAAAAAATAAATTTAAGTTGAAATAAGATCCAGATCCTTATATATCTCAGTATAATTTTCGAATATCGAAAAATCTATAATTATGCACTTACAGTTTCTAATGGAATAGAAACTATTAAAGAATCAATGCATTTTAGATTACTAGTCATATCAAAAGAATTCAAAGGTAAAAAATTAAAGGATCAGAAATAACATTTTCGAATGATTCGAATTTTTTTGTAGTTTAGGGTTTGGAAAAGATGGATTTAAAGGTTTTCGATAATTTTTCGTTTAATTTCAGGCTTTTTTAGTCATAATCTTTGATTAATAGTTATATTATAGAATCAAATACAAGCATATTGATCCATACAACAGAATTAATTTTGTGGGATTTCTAAACTAATAAAAAGAATAAGATATAGACTCCTTTTAGCATGTTTTAAGAAATGCAATCACGTTAGATGATGATTATAGGGAATTTAATGTTAGTTTAATTTAATAATGAAATTGCAGTCTTTGAATTATTATAATAAAAATTGAAGTATTTTACAACTTGCAATCATGGTGGATATGACAGTAAACTTATTTCTTGTGATAGATAAATAATGGTTGAGAATAGCAACATTAAAAAAATTGAGATTTCATAAATTTGATTAATGAATTGTCTATTAAATAATTTAACAATAATTTTTTCTTAAAGAGTATTATTCGCTTTTTAAAAAGTCTATAAGAATCTGAAGTAATCTAAATTAGAATATTGAAACAAAATTGTAAACAATTTAAAAGTAGAAAGAAAGAAAAGAGAAAAAGAATTAAGGAATAGAGTGGATTAAATAGATTAAAAATTTAAGTTAGAAGATTAAAGAATATGAAAAAAGGAAGAAAAACGAGAAATTGTAATTTGAATAATTTATAATTCAAAATGTTAATCAATAAAAGAAAATCTAAGGGATGGATTGAATAATTCTATTTATATTTTATTTCAAGTATTCAATAAATAAAAGCTTATATTTAAAAAGGTACAACATGGACTAAATTATAAGATTAAGTTTTTGATGAATTATATTTTAATGGGCAAAGTAGTCAGGACAAAAATCAATAAGAAGATAAATATTAGTCTATTAAGATGAAGAGATGATAAAGAGGATATCGATTAGAAAAATATTTTAATTGTTATTCAATAAGTAAGTGTTTTGATGAGCATACTCAACATCCATACTGAACTAAATGCAATAATAACTGTTAACAACACTAATTCTATTGAATTAGCTTTTAAGAATTTCAGATTGAATTTGGTTGAAAAGGTAAATTTAAGTTTTATTAATGGTTTTGGAGAATTTACAGAAGGAGTAAGTTCCTTTGCAGAGGATGCCAAATATCATTAAGTTAAAAAGGCATGAAAATATATATCTTTGATGGTTTTAGCCATTCACCAGTGATTATTGTAAAACAAAAAACAACAGGGCATCAATATAATTCATTTAGCTTAATCTCACAATTTTAAGAGATATGGCTTATATGGATTATTTACAATATCTGAATTCTTTGATTCTAATTATGATTGACCAATTATAATAATATTATTATAATAGAACAAATATTAATATTTATTACAATGGAAGGGTTCTTAGAAAAAAAAAGTCCTGTTTTGATTAAAGGATGGCAAAAGAGATATTTTGTTTACTGCGAGAATCTACTATTATATTTTAAAAGCAAAGTTGATTTACCTCCTTATTTACCAAAAGGTATTCTGAATTTCAATGATCAAGGAATTATAATGAAATAGAATATTGTTCGAGTGGATTATTTAGATCCAAACAAAAATGAGTTTGTTATTCATGTAGGACTGAGAAAATTTTAATTAAGAGCTGAAAATAAGGAATTAAAGGAAAAATGGGTAATAAATGCAGTTTGATTTAAGCTTGACATTTTAAAAGTACCATTTAATTAAACATCTAAAACAAAGTCTGAATTGTCGACTATGAATAAGATTAAGTGGTAAATTATCTTTATTTTGTAGGTTGGAAATCCCTAAATAATCAATAATGTAATTGTATTTGAAAAGAGAGGAGATTTTGTAAAATTTGATTCAATAATAAACATAAGATACATAAAATTCATTGATTAAATCATCCTATATTAAACAGACAATAGAAGCTATGGGTGAGAAAGTAACAATTGGTGTAATTTAAGAATAAAGAATTTATATTGAGGTTGCTAGTAGAAAAAAGCTCGATTAAGAATCCTTTGGTTAAGAAAAAGAGATGGTTGTTGCTTTTTACTTCCACAAGTATTGAGTCTTCTGATTAGATCCATTAATTTATTAAGTTCATTCCTCAATAATATACTTTGGATACAATAAACTTATTAAAATATAATAATAACTTAGCTACATTAACAAGTAATATCTATATATATATTTGTGATAGAATCAATAATTGAATTATACTAAATTTAAAATTTACAGATTGTTGTTACTAATGACTATTAACTAAAATTTATGTACAATGGTAGGGTATTCGAATTAGTATTTCCGTATTTAAGTGATGCTAAGAAATTACATGACTATATTGTTAAATGCTAACAAATTAATAATAGTATGCCTGCTTAAGTAAGTAGAACTAATTAAATACCTGTCTATAAAATGTAAGATAGTAGAAGAAGAATTATTAATTTGAAAGGGAAAACAGTTTTGGAGAATTAGGTAGAAAAGAAGGTGAATGTATCACAATGGAAAAATGTAATCCTTACTTTGAAAGAGCATGCCTTATTTTGGGAATTTGTTGATGCTGAAGAATTTTCAAATATTGAATTGAAATCTATTTCAGCAATTGAATAATGTAATAGAATATTCTCTATTATTGTAATCTATTGAAATTTTCAAGTTAGGTAAATGAGGAAGACAAAGTTTAATAGTAATTTAGAGTGTCAACAATTCAAGAAGCTGATGAATGGACTGGTTAATTATCGTATATGACAGATATTGAAATCACTATTAAAGTAATAGAAAAGTAGCAAACCCTTCAAAATTACTAATAAAATGCTCTAACAAACTAGTCCTAAACTTAATAATAATCTAAATAGTAGACTTAATAATAATAAGAGTAAAAAAAACCATCTTTTTTTTAATAATTATTTTGTTGGGGAGGTGAAAGAAAAGAACCATGATTAAATATGATTAAACAAGTAGATATTTCATCATAGGTCTAAGCTATTTCATTTATTAAACATCTTGTTTATTCTGTCTTCTATTCCATAATTCTATTTAAATTTTAATTGTTCTAAGAGGGCAAATTTTATGTATTTTGCTCAATTACTAGAGTGAATAATACATAAAATTAGTGTAAGACAGTATTTATTATATTTTTTAATCACAAATATGTTCCATTATTCATTTAGATTATAAATAAATCATATCAATATTTAGGAATCTCTCAATAATTTCTATATTTGTTTCTACTACTAATATTATATCAATGTTTGACAACATCCCATAATTGAGTATATCATAAGAATATCCTAAAATAATTAATAGTATTACTATTGGTAAACCAACAACCGCAAGAGATGACATAAAACAAAGATTGATTAATTTATATTGATTTTAGTCTTTCTAAATAGTTTATAATGATTTAAATTGGCTAGTTTTTAATAATCCAAAATTAACTATTCCAAAGAGCAGAGGAGTAATAAAATAAGGATCGTAGATTGTCATTTCGATTCCAAATAATTAATAAGAATGAAGACCATTCCAATATACAACAGCTCTCAGTTAATTTGTAAGCATATATAACTATTAAGAATACTAGATATGTAATACAGTAGCTATAGAAGCAGTAATTTATTTGCCATTCATTAAATCATATTTATTAGTGATGTTATTAATGCCTTATGGGACATAAGTTAATTTATGAATTAGATTATAGGTGATTTTTGCTACAAAAAATGAAGTTATTGCATAGGTTGGAATTGAGAGATAGTTTTCTAATAATAACAATATTTATCCATTTATAATACCACATTTGAATTTATTATTGTATTTGTTATGATACTATCTATTGGCGCAGTTAGAAATGAATATTTGTAAATTGGTTTCTTGAATAGCATAATATTATATTATAATTAATATATCACTCAACAAAGAAATGCACAGTAATTTATCTGAGTTCCCTATATGAAGAAATAATAATCTAGATTCAAATAAAATAATCAATTTGAATCCAATCTACCTTGGACCTCTTATTTGTATGGCATTTCAATTTTAGAAAAACAAGATATAAAATAATAATTATCCAATTGCAAATGTCAAATAAGAGTTTATCTAATAGAAGTATAGGAAAGAAAATAATTTCCACTTTTATTTTTGTATCAGATGCGTTCCTTATTTTATTTAGTTTAATCAATATATATTTACATTCCCAAACTAATTATCATAAATATTAGCTACTTTCATAAATAGATTTATGATGGAGGAATAAGAACTCCGACATTCCAATCCAGGAGTGCATGAGAATTGGACTTTGTATTAGAGTTTTGTGCATTCTTTCAAAAAAATGGAATAGGAATATATAAGCCAAATAGTTAAAGAATTGATTATTTATCATAAGTATAACGTAATGTCTTTTCTATTAAATATATGTGTGTCTTACTTGTCTTGACAATGCTAAAAATTGAACAGATATCCAAATATTTAAGCAATGGTTATTTTATATTATCTATTTAATACATTGTATTCACATTTTCTTTGTACCAAATCTATTAACTATTCCAATTCTCTCTTGTGATCTTATTATTTTATTCTAGTACATAGAATGATTGGCAGATTAAATATATTGATTCCACTTCTTATCCTTATCAAAATCATAATCCTCATACATGATTAATATAAAATTAATGAATAAAAATCAGATTCTTAATAAAAAATACATTATCAACTCTAGTGGTTAATTAAGGTATTACAAAAAGAAATCAAAACGATAAGTTCATAAAACAGAAGATTATAGTGATTAGATAACTTAGCCATTGCCTCCAATTTTATAGGCTGCAAGAATCAACACCCAATTGGATAACATAAATCTCAAATACAGAACTAAACCTCATTCTAATAATACAACTAATACTCCAACTAACAAGAATATATCTCTACCTCTTCTTAAAATATTACCAAATGATAATGAAGAGTAAATCAAGCAGAAAATCAATTCATATTTTATATCATCAAATTAAGCAAAGGTTATCATTAAGAATGATTTCCTTAAATAAAATATGATTGGATATAGTAAAGTGAGCACAATTATGATTATTTGATAGTATATTGCTCAGATTATTATTTTATATATTTGCTCTATTTTTTGTGATCTTAACTTTACATATTTTATTATAGATTGATAAATATCATAATTAGAATATCTTGATTGCTGCTGATAGATAATTCCTTTGATATAAATAAGTATATGATTAAAAATTATATATAAGTTAAGTAAAAATTTATTCGTTAAAATGAGACAATCTAATTACAAAGAAAACAGGCTGCAAAGTAGTTAAAGAAAGATGTCAGACTATATAAAAAGTACATTAGGAAGTAATTCATAAATACACGAACCCTTATCTAACAAAAAGAATTAATTGAATGAATTGGAACATCAATTACAATAGATAGTGAAAATAAAGAATTCCTTCCAATAATTTTGTGGGGTAAAAGAGAATAAAGAGATAAGACAAAGCAAGGAGAATAGAGAAGCGCTATATTAGTTCTAATAACAGTAAAATGTTGATAGACAAGCTTAGTTAGTATAAGTATGAAATTTTATATGTATTTTAAAAAGACTGGGAATTTTGGGCATCCAGAGTCTCAATTATCACATAGAATTAGCACCCAAAGGACTTTACCAGCATTTGAAATTCATGAGGATATTCCAACAATTGAAGATTTAAGAAAATTGCAAAATTAGATTTTGGATTTGAATTCATATACTGTAGAGCAGATGGATGAATTAAAGAAATTGTCCTCTATCATATTGTTCAGAATGAGGAATATTAGAAAATAATGATGAATAATTTATATAAATATTATATAAATGGATAAAAAGTATTCAGAACTTCTCGAGAAGTAGTTGATCTTGGAGAAAGAACTTAAAAACTTAGAATATAGTATATTTGATGAAGAAACAAAAATATTTGGAGGAAACTGGTCATTTAGGAAATGTAATAAAAGGATGGGAAGGGTACTTGAGCATGAAGAATTCTAAGTTGGGTGTAAATCTATAGAGAAAAGACAAGTTAAATCCAAATGATAGAATATTTTCATAGAGTAGCAAAACATCACCTTTTGTACAGGAGATTTTACAACCTGTTTAGACAACTGGACCTTAAATATAAGTGTTGAATGAAGGAAGTGGAGAGGAGAAAAAAGAATATCATTTCAGAAGGACGAAGAAAAATAATAAATATGTTAGATTTCAAAATGGGTAAAATCACATTTAATATATTTTAGTGAAGGGGGATTTCATTCTCCAATGACTTGTAGTGATGAATATCATGAGAAGAAGGGCAAGGTACAAAAGAGGATTTGAATTTTTAAAGATATATGATATATATTTACTTTATAATAGATATTTAAGTGAAATGAATAAGAATAGTATGGTATTATTAATTTTTTTTGTTAAAAATTACAGATGGTATATATATTGTTCATATCTTTTTACAGCCACAACCATTAGTTTGGGTATAAGTAAAGCAATCTGGACAGATTCCAGCACCTAGATCGGGTCACACTTTTGTAACTGTTGGAAAAACGCACATCCTTTTTGGAGGATTGGATAGTGAGAAAAAGCCAGATGCAGAAAAGAAAAATACAAAGATAGCACCAAATAATTAAGGTAGATATTTTAATTAACTAATAAGTATATTCATTGAGAGTAGCAGCAAATGTTTGTGAATGGAAGTTAGTATAATGTTCTGGTGATCCACCATTGCCAAGAACAAATCATGCAGCATGTGCCCTTTCTAGTGATAAAATGCTTATTTTTGGTGGGTTTTACACATCAAACCTCCGTTTTAATGACACATTCATCTTAAGAACTACTAATTTCTAATGGTCCCAACCACCCAATTAAAAAGTAACTGGCGAACCTAAAAATGCTGAATCTAAGATAGGTGCACCAGAACCAAGAGGAAACCATTCAGCAACATTTCATAAAAACAAAGTATATGTTTTTGGAGGACATGGTGGAGTTGGATATGCAACTAAATCATTCAATGATCTATATGTTTTAGATTGTGAAAGTTTTGAATGGTCATAACTAGAACCTAGTGGAACACCACCTGATCCTAGAGGAGGACACAATTCTTAAATTATGGGATAGAATGATTTGCTCATGATTTTTGGCGGATGGAATCAAATTTCGTAATTTTAAAATGTCATCATTTATGATATTAATAACAATAGTTGGGTAGATCCAGAAATATCACATGAAATACCTAAGTGGAACATGGCAGGTATTATGGTGCCATCTATTCCATCTTGGAAATATTTCATTTTTGGTGGACAAGTTGGTAACTTTGAAGAAGGTGGTAACAGAACAGCAAGTAGATTGGTAGATGATACTTTTGTATTGGATGTAGATGCTAAGAAATGGTCACCTGTCTAATTAGAAGAAGAGAAACCAGTCAAACCCAAGACTAGAGAATCAACTACTTTAATTTATGATCCATAAGATTCTAGAATTATGATGTTTGGTGGATGGTCAAATGCTTGGATGAATGATATGTATGCATTGAATGTCTCATCAATTGTTGGACCTCCATATGCTATCTATTCAATTAAACCATGTTTGGGTCCATTAACAGGAAAAACCAAAGTGTCTATTACAGGAGATGGATTCAGAGATTCATAAAATATTATCGTCAGATTCTTTTCAGGAAAAGCTTAAGAGGATGTTCCAGGAGTATATGTTAGTCCAACTGAATTAACTTGTGAAACGCCTTCATATGAAAAACATGGAGCTAGAAAATCTGAAGTTAAAGTTAGTGTGGATAAATAAGATTTCACTATTATGAGTCAATTCTATTCCTATTTCTTAAACTCAAAGGCTGAAAAAACATTAATGTTTGGACCAGGAGTGTTGAGAGAAAATGCAATAAAAAATGATACTATGTTCTACATTCAAACAAGAAATTTAAATAATTAAAATAGAGAAAGTGGTGCTGATGAATTTTAAATTGAAATCACTAGACCTGATGTTTTAGCAGAATTGGAAGAGGAAAGATAAAGAGAATCAAT